GAGGAGTGGCTGGTGGGTTTGAACCGCCAGCCTTCTGGTTAGCAGTCAAGTGCCTTAGGCACTACGCTACCAGAGCTCCATCCTCTTAATACTAATACAGGTAAAATGTTAGAGACCACCCTATAATAAATGACAACTGATAGGTGACACAAAAGGTAATCAAGGAGACTGGTAAAGCAGAAAGCCCACGCCCTGTACAAAGGAGACAAGCACTACTCAGCTCCAATAATGCTGTCAGGTAAAAATGCAGGACCCTAAAATACTTTCTAAAATATCACACAGGTAAATGAAGCATTTCTATATTCATGTCCTGCCAGAGGGCTAGCAACACACAACCTTGGCAACGGAGCAGGCTGAATCTCAAGCATGGGTTTTAGATGTATTTCAAATAGAAGGCAGTTCCACAACTACAGTTAGCAGAAACATATAATCAGAGTCTAGAGTAAACACTTATCACCTACATACAATGATTTCATTTATTGTTCAGTCTCAAAGCAAGTAAGCCACTTAACTAACTTTCTAATGACGACCAGTAACTAACCACCCCACTGACTGTCCATTTCCTCACCCTCATTGGGTGGATATCGGCATATGGAGGCTTTCCTTCAGCCATTTCTATGGCAGTTATTCCCAGTGACCAGATGTCTGCCACACAGTTATACCCAATTTCCTGAATCACTTCTGGAGCCATCCAAAATGGTGTTCCTATCACCGTATTTCTCTTGGCCATGGTATCCTAAAATAGAAAGAACAGCAAGCATTAAAACTATTGAGAAAAAGAAAGATGCTTCCAATAGTAAGAAATGCCTTATATTTGAAATACATTTAAAACGCATACTCAAGACGTGATCAAGTAAGACACAAAAGAAATTCAAACGACCATGAAATATATACAAAGATTATCAATCAATTTTCAAAACACAAACTTAAACAAGATACAGGCAATCCCCAGGTTATGAATGTCTGACTTAATAACAATTTACCTGTAGTTATGAACCAATTTCCCTAAAGCCTATTGTATTAAAAATTCAATGTATATACAGTGGTTCACAACAAATGGGCACTATTTTGGAACACACATGAAAACATTATCGTTATTACTGTAGTATTATGCTGAAGATGTTTTAGTGTATCTGGAAGTATTTCTTTAATTTTTTTTAATGCATAAAAAGATATACTATATACTAAGACAAACATTTGACTGATGTTAGATATGAACCATATCTAACTGCTCTGATTCATGTACAAATCTGACTTAAAAACAGACTTAGGAAAAGAACTTATTTGTAATCCAGGGACTGGCTGTAACACCCTTCAAGTTAAAGAAAAATTAAAAGATTAATAATAACTATTGCTGGTGAAAAACAGGCACTCTAATATGATGTTACTGGAGTATAAAATGATACAACTTTCTGGTAGGCAATTCGGCAGTATTTATTAAAGTCTTAAATGTCCCTAACTTTGACCCAAATCTATTTCTAAAAATTTATCCTGTGTACAAATGCCTAAAGATATACACACAAAGGCTGTAGAAAAGTTTACAATAGGAGGGAAAAAGGAAAAATGAGACAATCCAAAAGACCATTAAAAGGGGGTAAGTTAAATATAATAAATAGCCATAAAATAAAAAAGGATATACAAGAAAAGAGATATAGATGTGATGGCATAAAATATATAAAATATATCGTGAAGCAAAAAATCAATATAAAAAATTGGGTTTAATATAAACAAAAACCTGTTTAGGACATACAATAATATCAATATGGTCATGATGATAAACACAACCACCAGTTAAGTGTTGTTATATGCACAGCAAAAAAATCTGGAGTGATATACATGACACTGTTAACAATAGCACTGCCAACAAAAGGCACAATCACTAAGGACTTCCACTTGGCATTCTGCTCACTTCTGAACCACTCTCCTGGTTTGCCTGTGCACGTTTCCCACGTGCAACCAGAAAGGGAAGAAAGTCAGGAGAGGGACGGCTATGTAACACGTCTCGGTCTGGGGCTTAAAGAAGAGTGTCTGGGTATGGTGCACTTGGCAAACCAATGCTTGCACACCTGCCCCTAAGGGCTTGGCCTAATAAAAGAGAACCTTCCTACAGTTCTTCTGCTTTAGGAAAAGAAGAATTTAAAACAGAACTAAAACTGCAGTCGGACTTGTTACCATCACCCCATGTTCCTTCTCAAATGCCTGTAGCTCAAGTTGGGTGATGCCAGGGAAGAGCAAAGAATGGGCAATATTTTTCAATCAATCTCACTGTCAGGCCTATGTAATTAACACAGGAACTAACATACTGTTTAGTCATTTCCTTAGCTCTGAAACTTCAAATTGCTGGGGTGTTTTCAAATGATAGTACTCAAAGCTGTTTCCACAGGATTAATTCAATTAGGAATTGGTACTGTGGTTAACCAGAAATTTTTTGAAAATTAATAAGAGTAATGAGGGATCAAGCAATAATGCATGCATGTACAGGTGTGTCTGCAGGCATGTGTATACACACATTTGTGCACGCTGCATATACATCCATATATATAACAAAACCCATGGGGGCACAGTTTCAGGGGCTTCCCAGATATATCCAAGCACCTCACAGGGTGGGTTTACTGCGTTAAAAGACTCAGGACCACCTTCTTGGGGGATAGCTTAGTCAGTTGGCATAACACAGTTCATAAAGATAATGTTCTACATCCCAGTTTAGTGACTAGTGTTTCAGGTCTTAAAAGCTTGTGAGCAGCCATCTAAGATACAAAAGCTCAGAGAAGAAACAAGGCCATAGAACAGCCCACACAAACTATGGCTTCTTCTAACCTGACACCAGAGAACAACTAGATGGTACCCAGTTACCATAACTGACCATTCTGACCAGGGACACAATAGAAGGTCCCAGCTAAGATGGGAGAAAAATATAGATCAAATTCAAATTTCTGGAAAAAAGAAAGCCAGACTTACTGGTCTGATAGACTGTGGAGGAACCCACCTCCTCGAGACTTATCATCCTAAGATACCTTTTGAACTGAGAACAGAAGCTATTTCTCGAGGTCACCTCTCAGACAAATAATAGATTGGCGTATAAAATAAACAGCATCACTCATGAGGAATGTGCTGCTCCCTTAACCAATCAACAGAGACCAAGGGGTCAACATTACCCAAAAACAAAGATGAGAAGCCAAGGACTGGAAGGAGAGCTAGATCAATGGAAACAGAACAAACAGAACGGAAAAAGTGGTATCCCTCACTTTTCAAAAGTTTGCTTTATGCCATTTCATTTTTACAAAAGACCTACATTACTACCTGTTTTTGGAAACCACTAACCGAAAGAAAATCAAAGAGCTTTTATGAGAAAACGTAAAAAGTAAAACGAGCATTCAGCGTTTGTTTTGCAGAGAGCCCTTAACGAGGCAGCGCTTGCTCACCCAAGCAGCGAAAGTGCCATCACCAAGCTCCTCCCCCAGGAAATACACTCAGCATCTCAGCATCAAGCCGTCATACCTTCGAACTGGGGCTGTGAACATGTTATGTGAGAGTTCAGGTTTTTTGTGTTACTTGGTATAATTAGGTAGTTATTTTTGAAGTCTGGGAATGCTCAAAAATTTTTCTCATATAAACTCACTGCCGTCAAGTGGATTCGTCAAGTGGATTTGGACTCATAGAGACCCCTCCTTAGGTTTCCAAGGTGGTACAGCATAGTGCCTAAGGCATTTGACTGCTAACCAGAAGGCTGCCGGTTCAAACCACCAGCCACTCCTTGGAAGGAAGGCTGGGTAATCTACTTCCATAGAGATACTGCCTAGGCAACCAAAGGAGGGGTTGCTATGAGTTGGGCCCGACTCGACGGCACATAACAACAACAACAGCTGCTCTGTGGGAGAAAGAGGTACAATATGCTTCTGTTAACCTTAGAAACCCTATGGGGCAGCTTGACTCTGTCCTCTAGGGTTGCTGTGAACTAGAATTGACTCAACAGAAATGGGTTTAGCTTCGTTTTGATTATGGAGCAATGTTCTCAGCTGCTCATCTAAAGGTCAGCAGTTTGAACCCATCCTAAAGAGAAAGTACTGGCTGTCTGCTCCCACAGAGATTACAGCCTAAGAAACCCTATCGGGCAGTTCTACTGTCACATGGGGTTCTTATGAGTCAAAATCGACTGGTTAGCACTCAATGATGACAACAGCCTTTTATTAAACATCTCCTATGTGTCATGAGGGAGCTCTGGTAGCGAAGGGACTTGACGGCTAACCAGGAGGCTGGCAGTCAAACCCAATAGCCACTCCTCGGAAGGAAGGTTTACTTCCGTAGTGATACTGCCTCGGCAACCCAAGGAGGGGTTGCTATGCGTTGGGTCCGACTCGACGGCACATAACAACAGCAACAACAACACTTTATGGAAGTAGATTGCCCAGTCTTCCTTCTGAGGAGCAGTGGCTGATGGGTTTGACCCGCCAGCCTTCTGGTTAGCAGTCAAATGCCTTAGGCACTATGCCACCAGAGTTCCTGAATGAATGGTAATTTCTTCTTGGTTTTTTGGCCTATAAAAGGTTTCACAGAAACACTCTACTGTCAATGGGGGAAACCTGTACAGAAAAACGCTGACACTTTATGAAAACTGAAAACTGTAACCAACAGCACAGAACAATTTGGACAAAAATTGTTACATGGGAGCCTAATTTGTTATGTAAACTTCCACCTAAAACACAACCTTAAAAAAAAAAGAAAAAGAATCAATAAGTGAACACTGTATTTCTAAGACAGAGAGGGAGCAGGATGTTCTTATCCAGCACGTCAATCAACAGGAAGGCCTTCATCACCCACCATTAAAAAAAAAAAGAAAATGAAAGTAGATAATTCTGTTTTGCGAAAAGCATTTGTGGTAGTATTTTTTCATTTGTATTATATTTCCCAAAATTAGTTTGATACAAAGAGGATTGTTATGCTTGTATTCTTATTGAAATATTTAATAAACTTTGTTTTCGTATTAACCTTTTATTGTTACTTCTATAAATTATTCTTAACGTGACTTGAAAAAAGTCCACAGAAGCCTAAATCAATAAATAAAAAGAGTATTAAAGTGATACTAACCCAACTAGACCTGTATTGCAAAGCAGTATCCACATAGTAGCACAGCAATGGAAAACAGGCCAGAAACACATTACAGCATGTTTGAGATTTGAAGACATGATTATGATCGACAAGCAGAGGATGGAATATGCAAAAAAAAAGCCAAACAAACACAAGGTACTGGGTATCTGGCGAGTCATTTGCACAGCTCTGTATTTAAATCCCTCCTACCTCGTATTTCACCAAAATCAGTTCAAATAGATTAAGATTTTTAACATAAAGAACTAAAACCAAACAAGTACTAGAAGAAAGTGTAGATAAAGTTATATGATGATTTCAGAATAGCAAACGGCTTTTTTAAGCATGACCTCTAAGGCAGAAACCATACAATGAAAGATCTGTCTGTAGAAAATTGGAAAACTTCTATATTAAAAAATAAATCAGAATAAAAGACAAATAGCAAACTAGGAAAAGCGGTTTCAACAGCATATGATGAAGGATTAATGCCTTTGATATTATCATTTGTTTTTTTACCTTGGTTTATCTTTTTTAAAAAAAGGTTGTTTTTTTTTTAAGTTCAACATTTGGTTAGAGTAATTGGCAAATAAGATGAAATTAATTTATAAAAGAAGGATTACAAGTGGCCAAAAATCAAATATTAAAAATTTAATT